TTTGAAAACATGTTTTCAAGTACTCGCTCGAGTTTGTGCGTGCTAGAAAGAATTAAATTTTACATGCACACGCAGACCCATAATATCCGATTTAATATTTTCAATCAGCAGATTTGCGTTGTGTTGCGATCCGCCCTGAAGTTATGCGGCATTGTGGAATAAGCCTGATTTTCACAAATCTGATCACGCGGCAGTTTGCGAGATTCCTTATTGCACTTGTAATTCGATTGTCTTTACCTTGATATTGGATACAATATATTTGAATTACAAGCCTCTTCAAATAGAATTTGAAACCTCTTAATAAATCCTTCCTTGTTATATTATCACATTTGCTTGTATTGAATTAATTCTCCAGTTGAAGCATAGCACCACATTCATTATACTTGAATTCTAAAACTTCCATTTTGAAGGGTCCATGAGATCCCATCAACACTTCCCACAGAGGTGGGCAAACACATGAAACGCACACAGGACCACAGAAACAGGCCAAACCAGCGAGTCTGCGCAGACGACTGCCACAAGAGACCAGCTTCGCTGTTTCGCAATCAACAGGCCATCTGCTCACACCAGTAAGTCAGGAGCTTGTCTGCTTGACTGTCATCCAGGTGTCACCCAGACCTCATGGTGCCAGAGAGAGAGCTGGCTGACGGACAGCCCTCTGGCTGTGAGTTTTGCCCTGGTCTGGGCTGCTGGTGACCAGCCTGAACCGCAGCAAATCCTGCGGCACCACCGGTATCCCAGAATGCCTCAGGCCACTCATCTAATACAGAGCTTTGGAAAAGTCCCCCCGATGGGGTGAGCCCCCTCTGCCCTAATCCCTCATCCGCTCAGACCCATCCTCACCAGCCCATAAGGGGCCTGCCGCCTGGAGAATCCACTGGTTGGGATAAAAGGATAAGACCTGCACCAGTCTGATTACTTACATCTGGCCCGTAAATCCCAGCCCAAGAGTCCCCTTTGGAGCTGCGTTGTTTACAGTGCAGCATGGAAAAGGTAGCTTTGCAAAACGGCCACTCGCCCAGAGCGGGACACGCTGGGCCGCCTCATAGCAGCATGGCAGCGAAGGTGCTGGGGGAAGGGGTGTGGCCAGGAGTCATGGTGTTTCACCTTAAAAATATTAGCAATTTTCATGAGTGTCTAAATAACATTATTACAAAAGTTAACATTGCATAAGAATCAAACATTGTGTAAGAATAAAAAAATGCTTAATGTCATCACTTCCTCCACTTTTTATGAGTGTAAACAGAGTCAAGAAAAATGTGTGATAAATTTCATATTGAAAATCTTCACTGCAAACACTAGGAATGGAGTCACTCTGTGGGCAGGCAGGTTAACTTTCAGAAAATCTACGGGGTTGAACTTAAAAACCTTCATCTGCAGTGCCTTCCATCGGTATGAGTCGTGCGAATCATTTGTGCGTGTTCACCAGCAGTAAGCTCCATGTGCACAGAGTCCCCTATATGTCCACCATTATACTGTGTTCCACATCCTGAGATAGTCATGAAAAAATAATGAAATGCAAATGGTGCGCCGTGGTCAGCCAGAACTACTGCATTATTGACTATTGAGTAAACATGTTAAAATTGAAATGTCTTCATTTGAGAATGAAGCTACAGGTGATAATCATCTGAGAATCTTTGTCAGCGGCTCCTAGATCCTGCTCCATTTGCTGCTTGACTAGTGGGATTCACCTACTTGGGCTGATTGACAAATTAATTCCGGCAGGATTAAGCAGCGTTCAGATGGGAAAGGAGAGACTCATATACTGTTTCTTGTCATACCTTTAAATCCCAAGAGACTTGAACCGAAATTAAGTGAAATCTTTCGATCACACATTTTACATGCATTCATGCATTTCACTCATGTTGTTGAATATAAATCGTAATGCTTTACATTAACTGTACCCTCATAATGCCTTTATAATGCATTTGTAGAACATTCAGTGGGCCTTCATAATACATTCATCGAACATTCATAAGTGACATGTAAGTATAAATTGAATATACATTAATGATAAACATTATACAATTATGCGATTATAATGTTCGTTATCCATATAATGGTTGTTATCAATGTATGATAAAGCTGTCAAGGTATGTTAGGATGTTAAGGTATACGTAAATGCTGCTTATGAATGTTATGAATGCATTATGAAGGTGCAGTTAATGTAAAGTGTTACCAAATGGTTTGTCTTGCTTAGATGCTTAGATGCGTTGTAAAGGGTGCCTCTTGGAGGTAAAGTTCCTGTACCTTAAATAATACATTTTATTATTAGTGATTTCTGGTCTGGAACATGGATGTTAGAGCTGCTAGATGTCTAGAAATTATCCAATATTTTAGTTCTAACTATATTTCTGTACAGTACGGACTTGCTCTGCTGATCTCTGGGAAATGTGAAGCACGGTTAAGAGGTCTTGGGACTATGATATTGATTTTAATGTCTTTCATTTAACTGGTTACTGTCTCTATTGACTGCAGTTAGATAAAGAGTGTTAAGCCATCTCAAGGTAAATAAACTCAGGCCTCTGTATTGGTACACCATGCACTGTATCACTGGTTGTAAACAAACAGATTGTTCTGTTGAGGAATTCTGCATTATTACTAGTGGACACAGAAGTCCTGCAATATGGCAACACCGGAATGGTGTGGATGACCCTGTAAAGATCCTTCAGAACGCTTGTGGGGTCCTCTGATATATATGGAACCCTTTGAGCTTTTAAAAACTCATTGACGATGCTACTTTGACACACAAATGTAACACCTTACATAACAATGCATTGAAATCTCACACTAGTTCTTCCCAGAAGAAAAGATCCAGAAGCTCATAAATGTACTCAGTTCTAATTCCGCAGTTCTAAGTCCACATTTTCAGGATTTTTTCTCCAAATCTACATGATACATGTACAGGACAGTGACAGGAGGAATAAGGTTTTAAAGCCCTGAGTTAGGGGTCATTGTGCATGGCCAGTCAGAAAATTCTTCCAACCAAAAGTGAACTTCTGCTTCTAATCTGCAAGACCTCCTGACATTAAATATGGCAGAGAGGCCTGTCAGCTATGATGACTGCATCACCGGGAGCTCAGAAGACCACGGCAATACAAATCACACCTCGCTCATAGCCGTGGTGTGTAAACCACCGGTGAATTCTGCACGTTAAGGGATGGTCAGCCTGTGTGATTGCATGTGTGTGTCTGTGTGTGTAAGCATTAGGCACCATCCCCATAATTATTAGCATTATTTAACAGCAGATTTGGGGGGAGGGAGGCAAAGAATATGAATGTTGATAATGTTACATAACACATAATATGCAGTGAATGACCATATATGACAAACAGTGCCATCTGAATGCTTGGCTACATTAGTTAACTTTAAATTATGGATTATAACAGCAGGTTATCTGTATGGGGCTGCACCTGACCAGGTCCTGCAGATTGCACCTCATTATGCTTCATAAACGCTGCTGTACTGTAAAGCTCAGTTGGGGACATCTCACAGGGATCATCTGGTGTCAGCAGAGCACATGATACGTGCTTCATTTTACATCTGGTGGTGTTTTTCTATATTTAATACTGTCCGACTCATCGATGGAAGCGGAGAATCAACAAATTCTGTCAGACATATTCTTTGCCACTTCTTGTCATCGTGTCGTAACCTTCTGTTATAATTTACTGATTCTGAGATCCATACCAATAGAGCATTTTCTCAGAGAATGCTTAAATATTACATTTCACATTTGATTACTATAGATCCAGAGCTTGTACCTAATGATTAATTGATTACTTAGGCATTATACAGCGGCAGAGCATTATAATATAATTTAGGCATGGAGAACCTTTGATTTTTCTATCTGGTTTTTGTGTTAAAGGTGTGGATGAGCTTTATGACATACAGGCGATAGGAGAATATCGTAATATTTGCATGTGCAGTAAACGCGTATATACCACCTTAGTAGCCTATATGATCTGAAATCTAGTTTATGTCTAAGCTCACGTGCAAGGTGCAAAGTTACACATTTGGAAACTAAGCATATATTACAGTATTGTAACGTTTGTGCCCTTCAAACTACGCTCTGGTCAGCGGAAAGATCGTACGACAAATTACCGCCATCTTCAGGTACAAAGAAAACGAGCACCACTCGTGTTACGAAATGCGCGGAGAATCGTGACTAAAATAGCTCATTTTAGATGTTCTGAAAAATGCACGGTGTATTTATCAAGTGCATAATTTTTCATAATATAAGGTTCCTACGTTACCAGGATTGAATTAGAGCATTTTGCATAGACATGTCAATGATAATGACTGATTGAAAAGCAAAACAAATCATCCCATAAAAATTTAAACGGCCGCACAATGTAAGGGAGCACAACGTAATATACTTGCAATACAAATGATGTAAATGTAATTTAACTGGTTGATTTTTTTATTTCCTGAATGTGTTTTTCAGCCGGTGACTGCAGGAATTTACATGGCATTTGTATGGAAAACTAATTTCCCGAATGCGCCATTCTACCGCAAAGCAAGAGTATTTATATCCTTAACATATTTAATCCTATGTTGTTTATATATATAGTGATTCAACGATGAAATCGTGAGCGCGGCACAAATAATGTAAAATGACTGTCTAGTACAAGATGCAGGCACCCTATCCGCAGGTCGCTGTAATCTTGATAGCGACTCCTCAATTTTCCCGTCCTCCGCAACTTGATTTATTTCTGAGATCTTGTAGCTTTGTAAATGCCTCTCTCATTTAACAATCATATGATGTCTTGGAGTTGGACTTAATTCATATGCGACCTTAGCGCAAAACGGGGCTTGCATAGCGATGCGTATATTTAAAATCCAAGTATCTCAGTCTCACGTCCACATGAAGAGGATAGCACATACACTGCTGTGACTGTGGGCATATGGACGTGGATTCCGTAATGGTGCAACATACATATATCATCTAGACGTGATCGCAAGCAAAGCAGAATCTTGTTAAAAACAACTCTGCGAGTTACCTCAGTGTCGTAGATTTTGGGGATTAATGAGAAGGAGTAGAGTCTGGACTCTCGTATGTGCTGAATGGCAAGCTGGACAGCGGGGTCGATCCCTTGACTGATGCTGCTCATACGCGCTGATTCATTCATCGGCATCAGGACCATGATGGGCAACTCTTCACCGTCTTTCGTGTACCAGCTGTTGTCCAGGTTGCGGCCGGTGTTGTCATTGCAACCCCTTGATAAAACCGGTCGAAATACCACGACACACAGAAGCAGGCATCCCGACACCGCGACCATCTCCGATCTGCATTTCCTCGGGGATGGAGCCATGCTATCTGTACAGGACGGCGAAACAGATGCACCCTTTCAGTGCCTTAGCATTGCAAATTTGGTGTGTTTAAGTGGACGATCAACTTGGGGAAATCGTGTACATTAAATAATAAATGAGGCGGCAAAACCAAGCGGATCAATCAACTAACCAATGAATCAATCGCGTCTTCTGTCTTTTGAGGAGCGGAACTCAGTGAGCTGTAGTCTCGTTCAATTGCGATTCCTTGTTTTTCCTCCAAAACGCCAGCTTTTGGACTGGTGATACAGCTGGTGTGATTAGGTCGAAGAGGTTGTGTTACAAACGTTATACGCCGAAGATCCTCTTCCCTGGTGTCCGTGATCCACAACACTGCTTCCTAATGTCTCTCCAAGTCAATCTCTCTTTTCACCTCCCAGATAGTGCCATCAAGACCACAGAAGATCATCACACTCCAGTAGTCAGTGCGACAACAGCCAATGCGTAAAAATATATAGAAATAAGTAATTCTGTAAACAGTCAAAGTCAGCCTCTTGCGATGCCAGTTGTCAAGAACACAGATCCACCATCCGAGTACATTCCCGAGGAAAAAACATGAGGGTGCATCCCTGCCAGGAGAACGTCCCCTTTACGCCTGAAAACTGGACACGGAAAGGTCGTATTTGACAGACTGACTATATATTAAAAACCTCGCTACAGCCCTTTACGTGTACATCAGACGATGGAGCCTGAGTAACGCTGCCGCCGATGTCACTGCCTAAGCGCCTTTGAACGGCGCTTCACTTACTCACTGCTGCCGCCGCCGACCGGAGCGCGCGAGCGCGAGAGCCGTGCACGCGACTGATTAAAATAAAAACCTCATGACAGTGATGTGTGGGATCCCGATCATGCACCGGTGCCCTCAACGGCACACGCAAAGCCCACCGTTGCTATGTTTAAGGACTGCGAGTCTCAGTTTAAAGAAAAAAAATAAGGAAGGATGAAGATGCAATTATAATTGGCATAGGATTTTGAATTCTCGTAATACTGATTTTCTTATTATTTATTATAAAGCTAATCTTTTATTATAGGTACATGCACAGAAATAAACATTTTAATTAACAGTAGTTTAGTATTAAGCAGGACATGGAAGCACTCAGATAAAAGATAGTTTGAAGATTTGCGTGTTTGACCTGAGACAAGGATTACAAATGCACATAAATTAAATATTTCAAAATACTTGAATGTATAATAAGCCCGGGCAGTAAAGTGTCACAGCATTTAAAACACCTGCTTTCAAAACAGTCTTTGTCAATATAGGTTTTAAAACGCCCTTTAATAAATAGTGCCACCTAGCAAAATGTACTGAAGTACAACAACTAGGCTATAAAAAGAAGCGTCTTACTCCAATTTGACTTAATTGCAAAATATGCAGTGATTTTTATATAAACGGTTATGTTTTGTTAATCGTTTTATATGCCAGTGACAACATAAATTAAGCAAATTAAAACTCATTAACATTTAAAACATATACATTAAAATATCCACTATGATACTGTTTAGATCCACTGGTGTGTGTGGGAAGTAGATAAGGATGCTATCCATGGTTCTGAATTAACAAACAGGCAGCCTAATCTAGATGTATTTACTTGAATGACGGTATTACCGCATTCTGTAAAAATATGTGGATTTTTGCTTGTAAAGGTGCAGGCTGGGGTCGAGCTTATAGGCCGACTCACTTTTAAAAGCTCATGTTTGCTTGTAGGCAAGAAGAACTTATTACCCCGGGCCAATGCCAAATATAAACGCCTTTGTAATCACACTATAGATATTACATTTTGGGAGTATTTTTAGAACTTCTGTGCGATAAACACACATTAGGAAACAACGTTATGGTATGAGCTTTATCAGGTAGGCCTATTATTAACTTGGGAACCAACTGCTTACTGACCCCATAAAGCCAAAGCTTTTTATTGGTCTATTATTCTTAGTTCCACTGGGGTCTTTGTTACTTGTAATGTTGTTATACAAATAGTTATACCCCCTTACTATTTAGCAGTGTTCATAATAGTCCAATAGTTTCAGGCTTGTTCAGTAAGTGAGCTGAAAGTGTTTTTCACGCAAAAGTTTTTAATTTACTTATTGAGGTTATATTGGTAGTCTGACTGGAAAGTGAATTGGCTAGTGTATTAAACAGCAGGCTTTGAACATCTAGTTCGCGTGCGGAAAAAAAGCTTTCTCCGGATAAGCAGTATTTTGGGACCATATTGCATATTATCCTCCTGAGACCCGACCTATTCATTTATGTCCATTGTAGTGGACATTGCATTTTTGCATTTATTTTTTCACTGATGTTGGGAAACGTATTTATTCCTGTTGTGCACTAAAGAGGACATGCTGTGAAATTAAAATAAGAGTAAATTTGAAAAAATCTAAATTGTAAGATGTCTTATTTCCTCCAAAGACAAATAACCTACAATTGAAGGACACTTTTTTCCTTGGGTCTCAGGAGGTTATAGCCACTCTTTGCGACGCCAGGGAAAATCGCAAAGCACAGATCTGGAGCGCGAAAGATGCATATTTCCCATAAACTAACACTTAGTTAAATTCTTAACCCATACATATTTTTTCTCCATATATCAAGCACCTCTGGATATCAGTATTTAACTTCAAATCGGTGTTTGGAAGATTTTCATCTAAAGAGGCCAGTTATAGATTCGCCTGCAGTCCTTTGTCGTTCATATTTGCTAAACCGACTTTATAGTTTTGAAAATGTACAGCAATAATTGAACAACGCAAGCTGTACTGTTATTCATTTCCAGTTTATCCCTTAACATTGGGTCTACTTAATTTTAGCTGTGTTGTCAAAATAATCTTAGCATGAAAACCGTTCCGTGATGATCAGGGGACATTTGCCTGAAGCTACAGAAACGGGAATTAGTTCTGCAACGCGTATGTGCGGTTTTGCTTCAGTGAGGAGTAACATACAGTACCAGAGATCCCCTACGCTTTGATTAATTCTTTACATGACAGCTGAATAAAAATCAGTTGACAGTTTTTTCATTAATCTATCGTATAATATCATGCGTGTAAGCGCCAATATCCATATATAATATTAGAAAACTTTAGATTGTTTTAGTAAAGAGCCATCCTTTATTATTCTGACAGGAGAGCATCTTTAGTTAAGCATTCTGATCAAGGGCACAGCGCTGCAGATCCTTTCTTCAGAAGTACAGGCCAGGACACGAGTAACAAACTGAACAGGACAGCAGATGAATCACGGTGTGCTGTCTGGCTCAGGGAGATTTAGGGACACTTATTCACCTGAGCTGCACGTCATTGGGAATATAACAAGCGAAATCAGCTTAAACCAATATCAACAGGGGAAGACTATGCCAACTTTGCAGGGTCATAACTGGAATGGGTTCATACCCACAATCATGAAGACGTCAGATGATGATAAGTACTTTTTAACATACATGTCATGCCGTTTACCCGGATCTAGGAAGGACCGGATCAACTCTTTATTGCTCTTTAGCTCTTTTAATCAGAACCTGGAGAATACACAAAACAGGATTTCGTGCTTAGCCGGATAACTTGTCGGATTTAAGGTAGTCTGGGCTAAATGTAAATGAACGAATATAAGTCCATTTAAACAAGGGGTACCTTAAATCCGGCGAGTTATCTGGCCATGTGGAATTTGTTATACAGGTCCCTATTCTCCGTTTAGTTCAGCGTACCACCGTTTAAATGGACTTATATTCGTTCACTTACATTTAGCCCAGACTACCTTAAATTCGACAAGTTATCGACCAATCACTTCTTGTGTTTACATGTAGTCAGCCAATAGTGTGCCAGATAAACTGTTGTAGACCAGACAGGCTCAGAACAGACCGTTAGATATATGTAGGGTTTTAGGATTTTAGGGATTACAAAGGCGTTTGACCGTTAAACTTGCCGTTGGATTTAGAGCTAACGGAACTAAATTTAGCGGAATCTATCTGGTCGACTAACGGTTTTCCAAGTAAGCTGAAACGCCAATCCGCAAATGCAAAAAATGAGCTTCACTAATTAGCAGTTGGCAGATTAGCGGAACAATGCCCACCACTGGTAAATCTGAATATTCCCTGGAGCATTTAAGGTGCTTTGCATGAAGACCCAGTAATGAATTCTGACCAGGCTTCCTTTTGCATGTACTGTATATACTTCCTTAATCACCACGCTACCTGCAGTTGGAGAACCTTTGAACTGCAGTCACTGACCTGCTGCTGAAAGGTGTTTGGCCACTGGACTCTACAGGGAGCATTAGGCAAAGCCAAAACAAACTGCTCAGGTAAGACACGAACATTATGTGAGTGGCCCAGAGAGAGAGAGAGAAAGCTTTTGTAATCATCAGGGTTGCCAGCTCTCATGCATCTGGCATGACACTCCCAATTTTAGACTCTCAGGCTCACACAAGAAATCTCACGGCAAATTTATATTATTCCATTATAAACCTAAAATTGGGTACATTAAAAGCCTTGGTGTAGTTTGCACACTCTACAGACTATTTACAAGCTAAAAAAAACCACTGTAAACATACACGTAAATTAGTGTACGTGTGTGTGCATTCTTGTCTCAAACACAAAATCTCAATCCAGCCAGGTGCCCAAAGTTGGCAACCTTGGTAATCATCCACTTTTTGTTAGGGAAAGAGGAGCCAGGTGTGACTGACAAAGACAGACTTGTAATCTGTGTGTCATGTGCGTGACAGGTTTTTTTAGGCTCTGTTCCATCATGTGATTTTTCTTGACTCATCCCCAAAATATCACGGGACTGTAGTTGTTATCAGAGCACAGATTTCTTGTTCCTTATTCCAAGACTGCTAGCATATATTTTTAAAGAATGATTTTATCTAATACTTTACAGAAACTATATTAAAATATATTAATGTGTAAAGAGATATCAAAACATCCCTGTGACCCTGACCAAGAAGATTGATGGATATAAAAACATTCCTGTGGAACCTGAAACAGATATTGCTTGCAAAATGCGATCTGTCTGGATCTATCAGGAGCACAGGCTCCTGTTGATCCAGCACATCCAGGTGTAACAAAACTCCATCTCCAATTATTTGAAAAATAAACCCTTTCCATCACGGTTCATCCAAAGCTCTTACCAAAGGATCTAACATCAAAGGTAGATTTGAGGCCATTCAAGATAATAACTTACCAGACAGATACAGAAAGACAGTAAATAATCTAATGAAATTTAGTAGTGCCATCATTGAAGGTTTAAAGCTGACTGGCTGTCTAAACCTCAGACAGGCTAAAGTATGCTAACATTAGGGTGATTATTTGCCATTTCATATGCATTTAAACTGGGTTTCCTTTTGGGTACAAGAAAATAGAGGTCATTTACTCGCTATGAATGTCTCTAAATTTCTAACACCAGAAATAGGATTCTTCTGCTTCTGGCTGGACATGAACTTCACTCTGGCCATTAACCACTCTGTGATCAGCAGTGAAAGCACTGCATGCCTGTGGCTTCATCTTATAACTCATTTTAACGGTTCACTTTGGTTTATGTGAATAATAAAAGAACATTTCAAACACAGATATGGTCATCTCTCAGCATACAAAAATAAAGCTGAATGTGATGTATATGTAACAAATCAACATTGACAGATACACCATTGTTTAGCATAAAAGGTTTCAGATCAATAGTAAAATTGTGAAACTGGACAAGCATGGTTCAGAGACAGCTTTCCAAAGCCCTTATACTACCTTGTCATTAAATCAGAGTCTTTATTGCAAGAAAATCAAATCTGCATGCTTTGTCTAATGGATTTGAGGTCTGGTGGCTGATTAGGGCCTTTCTTATTGTATTCAACTTTAAACTATCATTTGCATTTGGAGACTTGAAGGATCTACAGTTGTTCTACAGGATCTACAGCTTTTACTTAAGGTTAAGAGATAATCACCTCCAGGTTGACATAGCAACAGCCAACTCATCATTTGTCCTCAGCCTGTCATAATTGGGGAGGGGGCTTTGGTCTTGCTAAAGCTGTCACATCTGCTGTAGGTCCCTGAACAGCATGACTGGTTTCCTGCCTGTAGTTTGATCCCTAGCTCACTTCCTCAGAGAAGCCGCTCCTGGGGGCTCACAGGCTAATAATGTTCCTAGCTAGTAGCACATAAGGATTCCTTCTGTCCTTTATGCATGTGAAGCACAACCGGTTGATGGAGAGCTCATCCATCGTCCATCTGTGCTTGCTGTCTTGAGTAATGTGCATGATGCAGCTTTGAGGCATAGGGGTTACTTGGTATGAAACAAATGTGCCTTCTTCATCTTAGATCCATTTAATGGACAGCTCCTTCTGAGATCACTCTTCAAAGCAAAGAAAAGAAATTGAGAGCCTTCTGGGAGATATGTTTGGTGGTTTTGGAGGATGGTAAGATGGGAAATGTTATTTCTTTTATTTATAGAGAGTCACATGATGTATCACTTAATCGATCACAACGGGTCGTAGGGGACCTGGAGCCTATCCCAGGCAGCATAGGGGACGAGGCTGGGCTACACTTGTTATGGCAGGGCACGATGAAGGGAGGGACGATCCACACAGCTGCTCTCAACAAAACAGGGCTTTATTGATGAAATGGACACAAAGGGAAAAACAAAAAGACCACAAGTGGTCAAAACAAAACTAGTAAAACTGAAAACTAAGGCAAGGACAGGGAACTACAGTAACTAACATGAACTATTGAGGAACAGAACAAGAGCAAGCACTTAAATACACTACTAACAAGACAGAATGCAGGGCAGATGAGAACCAAACCAATTCAATCACTAAGGGCTTGGGGCAACAATGAACAGGTGGGGTACATTACTACTAAAAGTCACTAGAGACTAGGAAACAGTAAAAAAAAGAAACACAAGGAGAGATCAAGGAACACAAGTAAAACAGAACATAAACAAGGCACAGGCAGGGTAACCATAAACAACACATAAATTAACCATATTGGAAATTACGGGATAAAATGAAACCAAAATAATAAACGAAAGGTGTGACTGGCCTTAGTCCAACCTTGAACTCATGATGGAAGGGATATCTGCCTCTAAGTCACATGCTCAGCAAATCAAGCCACACTCAGCCCAGAGGGGAAGGGAAACACACTTGGGCAAGACCAAATGGGACGGCCAGTGGGACCTGCTGGTCAAGCGGTGAAATGGCCCACGGGACAGGGCCAAACGGGCACCAAGCCTGACAACACTCTAGACAATATGCAATTCATATTCAGAAAGATTTTGTGCAATTTTATTCTCACAAACAAGAACTTCTTGTTCACAATTTGTAATCTATTTTTATAAATATTCACTCCAGCAGCAGAGTTTGCTTTTGCGAGCTTAGCCCTATAATTATCTCAACTATTGTGTCTCTGGTCTCACCATCCTTCAGTGCCCAGAAACCATTGGCATACTGGCAAGGTATCCATTTGGGGATAAATCACAGGCAGCAGGAAAGAGAAGGAGACAAATGAATGTTTGAGTAGATGTGGGTCTGTCCCACGTGTGGGGAACACATCTTCAAAGTATTTCACAGCTCAGATCACATAGCGTGATTTTTTTTTATAAGGACTGGCTGTGAACATCGGAAAGCACAGAAACCCAAAAGGTTAACAATGCTCTGTTTAATAGTTGTTATATGGATATGAATTGAATAACCCCATGAAAGGTATTCCTAACCTTCAGCCACCTGCCATGGTTATGATGATGTTTCTTCCAGATATGTAAATGATAAAACCTGGAAAGAAATGGACTAATTGGTAACCATGATCACTGTTGCCCCCAAGCTTCTGAGCAATGTAAGACACTCCCCCAGAGCACTTGGGGGTGAGATACACGCTGCGAGCCTTATTATGCATTAATAGGTTGTAAATCAGCTGTAATACCAAATCGTCCTTAAGGAGCTGTGAGCAGAATCTGGTTCTGTAGAAGAGTTCATCTTGATTGAGGGAGAAGGTTCTGGTTGGGTCCAGTGGCTGTTCGTCTTACAGCCACGGTCTACAGTGTGTGCTCCCTGATCGCTTTTTGTGCTGATTCGGGCCGGTCCCAGTTGTCGTTTATCAACAACACTGCTTGAAACTAGGCCAAATTTCTCCAGATCACGCTTGACTGAGTCCCCAGAAAATTTACTGGTCATAAGAATTTGCGAAAATTGATTCAATATTGAATGAATAGCGATGTTGGTGCACGTCGGATTGAGGCAGCGTTGGACCTCAGAAGATGATTGAAAAATGGAGGTTTTTCTCCTTATTGGTTCTGTGAGAAGCTTGCAGTCCAAGATGTGGGACAGTTACGTGATTAATAGTGTATGAGAGCAGAAGTCACAGTGTTGGATTTTCAAGCATCACTAATAAATCATTAACGACTCCACACAGAGTCGCCACTGAATATAGAATTCATTGCAGAAAAGGGGAACATCACAGATTACAGCTAATCATCACCAAAGCTGAAGCTCGATATATATGAATATTTTTTCATCATGCAATACTTTATCATTATTTATCATGTAATATTTTTGTCACAGTTTAATATTTTATTACTGCTCTCATTTCAACATGCTATTATCCAGGTTCTGGACGCTACAGATAAATAGTGTTGGTGAAGGGAGTTTATCTTCTGTCCTGAGCAGACGCTCATTTTATGTAGTTTTCTGAACAACTTCGAGATTGAACTTCCTTAAATGGCCTCTTTCATAACTCCAAGAGAGGCTTATTATGTAAAGAATAAAAAGGAACTTCATGACTGTATTATTATATACCATTGTGCGTGTATTATAGTGCCAGTGTTGCAGATTGAAGCTTCAGACATCTTACACGAGCCATTCTTTAGCGTTTAGTTTCATTAATGCTTGGTTTTAACGTGACTCAAACCAGCCATAGAAAGGTAATAAAAGGAGAACAGTGATTCATGTCTTACTTAGTGGGCAGGTATCCGCAAAAAGCACCAGCACTCACAGTCGGTGCTTTTATTAATCGAAACACGACACAGAGACTGGACTGGCCCTTTCACGGAAACAAAGGAGCATCAGAAAAACAAAAACCCACCGGCAGATGGGAGTTGGTGCTGGGAGTGTGCACCCTCTCCATCAGGTCCAGGTGAGCTCCCCCTTCCCTGGGGAAGATGGACTGCTTACCTGGGGTTGTTACTACAGCCCTTGGTGCCCCTGACTGCCACACAGTCCCTTAAAAATACATTTCAAATTGCAGTATTTGTGTTGACTTAAGGAATGAAGGACTTAAGGGCAGGTGATGTGGTGAAACAAAAGGGGGTTTATTGAACTCAAAGAAC